TTTTTTTTTTTTTTTTGGTCAATATGATGGCATATTTTGTAGATATCAAAGCAGAATACATAGCATATCATACAATTGACATCGATTCATTAAAAAACATTAATGCATTAAAAGCAATAGCATATAATGAATAACTTTAATTCTTCAATGTTTAACTGAATAATTTATTATAATAATACACTTTAACTAAAATGAAGTAAATAAAAAATGATAATTTGTAGAACCTAGAATATTCATGTCACTTTTAACAAAATGATTTTTTTCTTTTAAAATATGTTGAAACAATAACTTTTTTTTTATATATAAAAGAGTTAGTAGGGGAGAAGGGGACAATTATGAATATCTTTTACAAATTTGTCACAAAAACATATTTAACAGAATTTTTAAGTCATGCAGTATTTTTTAACAATAATTTAGACATGCATTCTAGTTTATTATCTGAAATTAAAACATTTAGTTTTCCCATAATATTTTTTTTTAAAAAATTTTCATCTACATTAGCGCTACTACATAGGGCTAGTGCACATGGAAGTATAGATCAGTGTTGCCAATCTACCATATCTCACAGACAGAGTTTGACCAATAAATAAAAATGCTATTCAGATGTTCACTCTAGCCCCCCCCCCTTTAAGCAGATGAAGACTTCTAAATAGATATAATTTCAAACAAAAAAAAGTTGGACATAAAACAAAACATATGCTTACCTATATTCATTATACTATCTTTTTCAGGGTCAAAAAATAGCCAATCATAAAACAAAGATAGCTTAGCACTAGAAGCAGCGACATTTGATGTACAAGTAGTGAGTAACCAGCCAATGACAGCCCAGCGAGGAATGATATCTGAACACAGGACTTCATTAGAAGGATGAATAACGCCACAAATGAAACGAATGAGATCACAGCGAAGTGTTTGACTTTCTGCAGTTGACAGATACTGTTAATAATGAAATAAGAAATCAGGCAAACCTTATTTAAACTTTGAAAGAAAGAAAAGGAAGCTACACAAAATACTTGAAACTTATAATAATTATTTATCCAAAAATTGTAAAATAGATACAGAAATAATACATATTAGAATAGTAGCAAAGTTTTTTTTAAACATTTTTAAAGTGGAATCACTTGTTGTTTGAAAGTACTGATATACTCATAAAATAGATATTCAAAGAGAATTGTGAAAATTCTATAATCATATAATCAGTAAGGTTAAATTAAAAACTTTTAATGAATAGTTCATATTTTGGATAGAGCTGATTTGTTTGAGATTGAAATCCTAAATCTGAAATAGTTTTTAAAAAACTTAAAGTTCTATTTTTTTACAGTGAATGCAATGTACATTTTAAACACGTATATATTCAAAAAGAAGATATTGAATAATTAGTCAAATTTTTATATATAGTTCTTTTTTTTTTATCTAAACACAATAAATTATCTGGTTGGATTGTGTGTTCACTTATGAGCAAATGGTACAGTTACTAAATTAAACATAATGAAGTTGCAAACACTTAAATTTATGTAGCTTGATATTCGAATTTTTGTATTAAAACAAAAGTGATTTTGATAAATAAAAGAAAATTTTAACAGTTTAATAACTAACACAAAACTGTAAAAATTAAAACCATTTTCTGAGTTAAAATGCATTAGTTTTAACTTTTAGTAAAATAATAATACCAAATAAGTAATAAATAACTTCAGAAGTTTTTCTGAATTTGACAGTTAAGATAAGATTTTTTTGAAAGATGAAAATTTAATCTTATCATTGTAGAAAGATTAATAAATGTCCCCATGCTTCAATTTAATACATCACAACTACACATCTACTTTACCTGCCTAATACATGCACAGTAAAAATTTAATAATTTTAAATAATTAACAAAACCTTCTTACCTGACGTTGAAACCAGTCTTGATACCTTTTATGTTGTCCAAATTTGACCTGCAAGAAAATAATTTTCAAGTATAAAAACGAACTTCATTTTCAATAGAGGAGATGAGTAAAGATTCAGTTTTAAAGCAATATCGCACTTTATATATATGTATAAAACATATATGTAAAAAACATGAATTTAAAAATTTTATGTTTGAAAAATAAATTTTTTTATTAAAAAGGGCAGTAATATTTAGAGAAAAGAAATAGATATAGATAATTCGCTAACAACAAAAGGGATTTGTTACCAAGAAGGAAAAAACTATTAAAATTAATGCTAATAAAATTTATAACCAAATACTTTTACTCACTATTAAAGTTAAAAAGAAATTTTAAAAAATTAATTATAAATTAAACAAAACATAGTACATGACAGCATGCATTATCTTTTTTTTTCTCTTCAGTTGCCATTTATGACATGTTAAAAACAACTAAGAGTAATTTACTATGGGAAACATTTGTTTTCAATTAGCATAAATGTTTATGAAGAAATTCCGTTTTGTTTTCTTGATAAGACAAATATTTTCTTCAATATTAAGAAACTAGCAACTAGCAATTGAGCATTACTAAACATAACAGCATATGAAATTCACAAAATTCAGGATCTCATACACACATACATGTGAAATTAAAGACTAAAAGAATCAAGATTGCTTTATTTTTCATATTAAATAAGCATATAGTACAATTTTTGAAGTGAAAAAAACAGCAATATTTTAAACATATGATAAAGATTAGGTAAGATTTTTGGTTATTAAAAAAAGAAAGAAAAACATTATTGAAACTACCTGCGATGTAAGAAATGCTATTTTCTTTTCCATGTCAGGAGTAAGCCTACACTGGAGAAACCTCCTTGATGTTCTTATTGTTAATAACTGTGCAACACCTAGAACAATAGAACAAATTTTGAAGAACAAATTTTGCAAGAATCAAAAATTTTAAACATAATCCTTCAGAATCTCATATCACCTACATGATTCAAGAAGATTACACCATAAAGCCACAATCGCTTTTTCGGCCTATATTACAGTAAGTTTTCATTTTCTTTCAGCCATGACATTGTTTTTGAAATTTCGATATTTTTAATGCATTACAACTACAACCCGCTAGCATTTTGTAATTCTAGAATGATGCTTATATTAAAACCAATTTATATAATGTGTTAAATTAGCTGAATAATTTGTAAGTTAAACTATTTTCCTTGAAGAAAAAAAAGTTTTTTTTCAAATGATAAAATTAATAACTGTGAAAATTTGGGGTTTCTTAAAAGCTATGCAAATTTTTGTGAAATACAATGCATTTTTTTTCTTTTCCTTTTAGGGACTTTTCGGGATGATTTCGGGCTCTTTTCAGTTATTAGTGCCCCGCCCTTTTTTAAAGTCCAGAATGAACACAGAAAAAGTTTTTTACTACTATTAAAATTACACCTGGATAAACTGTTTTGCCAACAAATGAAAATATTTAGGTGCCATTGACGCCTGACTGTTACATTATAATTTCTAACCCTACCTCTTACTTTTTCTACAATGTAGAAATTTTTAGTCATTTAAATAGAAAATAATGTTGAAATATTTGATTTGTTAAAAGAAATTTTAAAAATTGGCATTGTTTGTTTACATTCTCAAACCCAGGCCCATATAGAAGATTAATTTTTGAGTCAACTGTACTGATATAAGTTCTATTTAAGGACTTTTTACATATATTCTGTGACATTTCAATATATTTGTGACATATTTTATCAAGAAATGTTCTTAATCTAAAAAATATAATACTATTTTATACTGAATTTACAAAATATTCCTTACCAGTAAAATTTGGTGCAAATAGAGCTGGATTTGAATAGAGGTCTCTCCAAAGTTTTTCAAATTCTGGAATTCGGGCAACATTTAACAAAAGTCTAATTAAGTCTCTACCAATTATCAGGCATTCCGCAAACTTAAAAAATAAAATTTTAAAAATTAGTTTTTACAATAGAGTGCAACAATAAAGCAAAACAAGGCCTCAAGAAATAGAATTCAAACAACTATTTCATATAAGTCAAACAGCAAACAAATTAAAATATTATTTCAAATCTTTATATTTTATCATACATTTCTCAGCGTCAAAATCATAATACAAAATATCGATTATATGTGCAATTTATGATAGGAACGTACCTTTTCTCTTAATAAGGAAATACAAAAGTCTATTTCTTTTTGCCTTAACAAATTGAATTTTGGCCATATGTGATCTTCAATTAATCGAAGATAAGTATATACAATGGTAGCTATTAAAACACTAAATTTTTCAACCCATATCCTGTAACAAAAATAAAAAAAACAAAGATTTGACATATAAACTAAAATTACGAATAGCTATTACAGTACACAATTTTTAATAAATTAATAGAAATTCCACAAAATAAAAATTGCAAAGAAAATTAGACTCTACCTATGTTCAATGAAAGTATCTAACAAGGCTTCAGTCAACCATAAATTTTTTGTTGATAAATCCCCGCCTGTAAATCAAAATATGATGAATTTTAAATATATTTTCACAACATTTTGAATATGTTTATAGACATGTAATTGCTGGAAGAAATTATCTGAATTTTTTTTTAGTAAAATGACACAAATGTAAAATGACATATAAAAGACTCATGTTTGTGCACAAAATAACATTTATAAAATTTAAAGAGAAACAAATGAAAATAGAAGAAGTCACAGAGAGGTGAGTTAATTTATGAATTGGAAACTTAATATTAACATTTCATAGAAACATTAAATTTTTAAAGTAGTGCATTAAATTTCTAGAAAATTTCAATCAATTTTCATATACTTTAAGACATGCAGTTATATATGCTGGGTAACTAAAAATAGTTCTTAATTAAAAGGTGAATAACTAAACTTAATGAATTTTATTAATTAAACATCATTTTTTTAATGAAATTATTAGTTATCAATTGCTTGCATCTAAAAATTTAGTCACATAATACAGAAGCACATGATTTGGGCAGCGTCTTGCTGTTTTACAGAAAATTTGTGATATCTTGAAAAAAATTAAAAATAAATTTAATTCTACTTTTGAACAAATCAAGTGATTTCATGTTCACATTTTTTTTCTTACTAATTCTATATTCATTTTTGGAATCAGATTATTATGTTAATGCAATAAATACTGACTTAATTATATTATTTTATTCTGAAATTTTTGTTCAGAAAAAACTTTACACTATCATACTGTGTTACAGAAAGTCTTTAGTTCAATTTTGCGAGTTTACTAAGCTGTTGGTTTTATACAATGCATACAATTAGACATTTATAACAGAGAAATAATGGTACCAACCTGCTATCTGACGAAGGAGATGAAAACATAAACTGTCAACATTTGTAACTGAATTTTTTATCATTTCTTTAACAATCCAAAGTAGCTAAAAGTAAAACATATTAAATATTAAACAAAATGTTTTTTAAAGTAAACTTTAAAGAAAAGTATTTTGGAGAAATAAGTATATTTACTTGATTCCTGCTCGGTTCTAGCAATTTGCTATATTTTTCAACTATAATATGTGTTAAATGATTAATGACTAAATTGAAACCATCTCGAACCAAATACGTTAGGTCACGATAAAACTAAAAAAAGAAAATATAATTAACTTATAAAATTGGTTAATAAATAATTTTATAATTAATTATAAAATTGTTTGAAAAAATGAGTTCAATATAGCAATATTAAATTAATTAACGATCCAATAACAATAAGTAAATTAGCTACAAAGTAATAAGTATGAGTAATTCCTTTTAATTAAATAAAAATGCCTGGTTATTATTATATTGCAAAATTTTCAACCATCGAGTGTTAGTCCCAGCTTTTTACCAACTTTTAGCTGCAGGCTTTCCCGCATCAAAACACTGATTTCTCTCATTTTATTCAACGGGAAAGTAGTGCGTAGAAGGGAACTTTCAGTACAATTTTACCCAGGGGCTCAATGCTTAGAGAGTTAAAGTTTATAGAAGCCAATTTTCTATTACACTGTTAGGATTCAAAATTAAGTAGAACTTCAAATTTCCAAATTAATTAAGACCAGACTCAATCTGAATTAAAAATATAACTCAATGTCAATCTTTGCCTTGAAATTTAAAAAGTATCAACTATTTGCCTTCTTTTATCTTATAAAGCAATTTGAATAACTGATAATTTGGATTATTGGAGTTTATATAATGGGAACTCTGAAAAAGCAGGAAAAAAACTGATGATCTTTGATAGGCAGCAAATATCTGACCTACTTGCAGAATAAGAATTGCAGGTGCAAAACAACACATACAAGACTATTAAGATGAACACCAGTCTCTACTTAACAATGCATAATTCAATCCCTCCCAAATATAAATACAACAAACTAAAGATATTAAAAAAAGTACTATCCATTTTTAGAACTAATCTTTACAATCACCTTTACAACCTGAATATCTAAATCACAAAGTAATATCCAGAAAAGCCGGCTATTCACCAGATGGTTATGGAGGTTCATGTTCCACAAATTTAAAACCAACAGCATGAATGATGGTACTGTGGTCAGCATTGTTTCCTAGTCGCTATTACTTCTCAGACAAGGTGAATAGATTATATTAATCAATTTCTAATTGGGTAGGCAAATATCACATGGGATAGAGTCTCAGTCCTATACAATGCCAGCCTAAGGCCTTAACCAACAATGCTAACAGAGCTTTTTGTTCACAATGCAGTCTTTTAAACATTACATGTGAAGCTTGAATATCTTAATCACAAAGTAATATCCAGAACAGCCGGCTATTCGCCAGACGGTTATGGAGGTTCATGTTCGACAAATTTAAAACCAACAGCATGGTGGCACTGTAGTCAGCATTATTTCCTAGTCGTCATTACTTCTCAGACAAGATAATATCAATCAATTTCTAATTGGGTAGGCAAGTATCACTTGTGATATAGTCTCAGTCCTATACAATGCCAGCCTAAGGCTTTAATGACAGTATCATTTCAATTTATATCTTAATCATATGCTACTATATTTTACAGACTAAAATTCCTCACAATCTAAAATCCTTATTTTTCAATAAAAACTGATCTATGATGCGCAACATTAATAATATGTATTACATTTTTGTGGTCAAATGGATTTGACTCAAAGCTACAACATAGATCAAATAAATAGTATTATCAACATTATTAATAACATAACCAACCAATAGGTGGCATATTTCAGCACTTCTCTGTACAAAATTATCTTGGAAGAAATATTAAGACATGAATTGAATAATGAAGTTCAGGAAATAAACTTGCTTTAACTTAACTGACATATATAAATTGGATTATAGTCCATACTTACTCTAGGAGCGTTATTGGAATCAATTAAAACAGCGATTAAAAGACCAATATTAACATCATCATGGCCTTGGGCATTTTTACAAACCTAAAATTTGAACAATTGCATAAATTAATAAAACAAACAATAATTTATTAAAAAAACTAATTTGATACACATAATTTCTACTACGTACATATATTTCTAATAATAATTTAATAAAACATTAGCAGACAAGTTAAGATGCCTAGCTTTCTTTAAATGGGCATATAACACACTTAAATTTCTTGAATGAAAAAACTAATGTTTTTAAAGCAAAACTAAAATAAAAATTAAGGTTGAAAAATAGGGAGGTTATTACATAAAACAGGCTGCAAAAAAATAATCATTTTATTAGAATACTAAAATCAGATTTCTATTTTATTATTTATTATCTAAGTAAAGTAAATTATTGAATAAAAATAGAAATTAATTCATTCCTTAATGGGCTTTTTTTCTTCTTCTTCCTTCTTTTTTAAAAAAAAATTAAGGTAAAATGGCTAAGCCAGTTTTAAAATAATGGAATTCTTGAAAGGTGTGCAATGTGCACCATAGTTTTAGGCGTGCAAATAAATTCAGGAATACAACTAACCATAATGAACAAAATAAACAAAACAAAAATAACAGCTAACCATGTACAGTCAGACTTCTATTGAACGAACTTTTGTTTTGCGAATTTCTCTATTTTTCGATTTTTTTCGAGGAACCAAGAACATTTTAGAAATTTCTTCTAAAATAACTACCAAATAGCGAAGTGAATTTTCTACTAAACGAACTTTTCTTTGAGATCCACTTTCCCTATTTCCCATATTTCAGAACATTTCAGACTTGTTAACGCATTATATGGTGGGGAAAATGATCTTGAATTGATTTTTGAAGCCGAACTTTTAAAGAAAGCAGTAAAATCCCTTTTCCTTTTCGTTTGCAACGAAAAACTGAAACAAAAGTAACAGATTTTATAAGTAGTAATTAAAGTTAAGAACACTGTGGTAATGTATGTTTAAAAGTAGTTTCATAATAAATGCAGCTATAATTTATACAAAAAAAAATTTAGCTTTTTTTAGTGGAAAATGTATGTAGCACGATAGTATAACACAATGTTTTGCATTATTCTTGCTTTACATGCAGATTTCTTTCATGGTTAAAACTAAAAAATAAATAGTAGATACTAGTTAACAAGATGAAGGTATATCAATTGCTATTTTAATATCTGTAGAATTTATAAATTTAAAACCCGTTTTGTGTTGTTTAAGTATTTCAAAAGGTGATTTTCTATTTAATGAATTTTCTATATAACGAACTTTTTATTGGGATTTAGCGACTTCGTTAAATAGAGGTCTGACTGCATATCTTTTTACACCTCGCACTGAATAATAAACCACTAACTTTTTCTTGAAACCATTCATATCTCCCTTTATTTTTCACTACATTATTATTTATTTTCTGACCAAGTACTACCATAGTTTTTTTCTTCTTTAAATATATATATAGATATATGTCAATATGTTGAGGGGGGACTGGTAAATCAAGGCAGATATAGATTCAGCTATAGTACGAATTTTGTTCAAATCAATCCCATTTGTCAGAACTTTAAGAATAAGATTGGCAATAGCAAGATAAATATAAGTCTTGACACCATTCTTTCATTGCAGTGTGATATCATTACTTGATTATTTCACAATAATTGAGAAATATAACAATGCTTTCATAAAAATGCAATTTTTTTTTTTTTTTTTTAAAATTTTTAACCAAAAATGTTACATTTTTAAAGAAATAATTTAATTTAAGAAAATGGGGAAAATATATTAATCAATAAAATTTAGTCCTGCTGATTTTTCGTAAGACTGATTTCAGTCTCCAGAACTGAAAAGTGTCACCCACGCTTTAAAATGACAAAATAGCAAATTATTAAAAATTATAAGATTTTTCACAAAGTAATTGCTTATTTTTTATGACAATGGACGAGGCAGAGTCCAAAAATATGCAGAAATAGCATTTGATTGAATAGCTAAAAACATAAAAATAAAATAAAAGTTAAGACATAAAACTAACAATACTTTAAAACATTACAGGTTGAGAAACAACTTACAGCTTGACTAAGGGCATCATGTGCTTCTTTCTCGGATAAACTATTTGTAAGATTTAGAACGTGGGAACAACAACGTTCAAATTTCTGTAAAAAAAAATAAAAAATTTAATAAATAAGCAAGAAAATAATTTTTAATCATTTAATACGTGGCTGCAGTTATAAATTTGTTAAATAATAATAGAACAATATTATGTGTGTATATATAATCTTACAGAAACAATATTATGTGGTACAAGGGAGCATCATACCCCGCTCACTGCCATTCTCCAAACTTTACGATTGTTTCACAATCTTCACTACTTCTTGATGATAAACTGATTTTAAAAAATCAAAATTGAAATTGTCCAATTAAAAGATCTTGAACTTTTTCATAGTATTGATTCTGATTTAGTTTCTGATTCTATTGAGATAAAATTTAAGCCTAATAATTACGCTTGGCTATTATTATAAATTCATACACAAACCATATTTCTAAACTTTTTAAAGATATTATTTAGCAATAGTGGTACAAAAATTCTTAATATTTCTATGCAGTTTTAAATAATATTAATTACATATGTTGACCGTACACAGTTTTATATTAAATGTATCATACAAATAAAATAAAAAATTATAACCTATTTACCCTTTATAATTGTAAATGGTAATTCAATATGTTTCTCATAAACACTCAAAAAATAACTGAAATGGCAGTTAAGTTTTATTTAGTTTAAGTTTATTAAGTAGATTAAGTTTTTTCTTTCTAAGAAACTTATTTACTTAAATTAGCTCCACTACTTAAAATGTGTGACAGGTAAAAAGAGTTAAAATAGAACACATTTCTACTTCAAGTGATGAAGTTAAGTTATCTAATTTACCTTTCAAAATTTTTAAGTGAAAAATAAATTAATAAAAATGTTTCAACTGCTACGAAAATGTTTGGGAAAAAAAAAAAATTTTAACAAAATTTCTAAAAGAACTATATTTAAACCTCTTGAATCTGACAGGATATATTTGTCTCATCAGACATTCCAAGTAGGCTGTTGGTCTAAATAAATCTCATTTTAACATTAGATTTGCACATAAAAATTTTTTTGAGCTTCCCTCTCTACTTGAATGGTTACATCACTTCTAAAATTCCCATAGCGGTATAGTTTTGAAGAAATCAAATGTTAAGAATTATGCATTATTTCGTAAGGAAAATAACTAAAATAGAGCTAAGAAAAAGTGAGTGTCATTACTACAAGTATAATTTATATCCTGTTACATTGCTTTGGATCATTATTTGTATAATTTTCAAAGTTCATTATTTATTATCATCTGTTACTAGTGCAACATATGCCCCAATTAAAAAGAATAACGGGACATCAACAGGACATAACTACAAGAAGTTAGTTTTTTTTAAAAAAATTTTAAAAAAATTAGATTTTTTAAAAAAATTAAAAAAAAACCTATTTGTAACTGGTAGAAGAAAATGAGTAGCTAAAAGAAAAACTTACTTGATAAAAAATTAGAAACCAGTTTTGAAAAGTTTAATAATGCAGCACGGCAAAATGCACTTATTAAAGTGTGTTCTTATTTTCAACAAAGTTTTAAAATTCGAATTGGGGTTATAATTTTAAAATCTGAACAGGTAAAAAAAAATTACATTAGGATGCATTTCTACTACTAAATAATAATTAGAAGAATTTAAGAAAATAACAAACTAACTTTTACAATTAAAAAAAAAAAAAACTTTTAAGCTGCCAAAAGATCTTTTAGAAAATTTCTTTTTGACGAAAATATGAAAAGAAATACCTTTAAAGATACAGCACTAATAGCAAAATTTTAAAATATTTTTTAATAAAGATAACTATATTTTTCATTAAATTCAGATATCTTTAAAATACTAGTTTAGAATTTAAATTAAAATAGCTTTTAAACTAAAGATTTTTCTAATTATTTTTAGACATATTTTCTTTTGAAGAAAATGACTGGCTAGCTTTAAAATTACCAAACTATTTAAAAAAAAAAATTCTTTGATTTTTGAAATGTACATTTTATATGTTCTGAGACATCAGGGCTAAAAGTAAGATGGAAAAGAGAAAAAACTGTTAGTAAAAACATTCTATAGATAACTTATGTGAAAGGTATTATTTACAGTCATTTAAGGTTATAAACAATAAATAGAAAAATAACTGGGATCATTTTCAATACCCAAAACGGTAGATATTTAGGTCCACTAAAAAATGAGGTAGGTCAGGCAATCAAAATAATTGGTAAAACTTTAAAAACAAGTAGGAATTTATTTATTTTACAGAGAAATGCAGCTATGTACTCTTTTTATTTTTATTTATTTTAAATATTTTTAAAAATAATTTTTTTTCTACTTTAGATTTAATAACACAATTATAAATTAAGATTTAAAAAAGAATTCAGAAAATAATAGCCAGGGTTGAAACAGACATTTTAGATTCTCAAATTCATGACTTTCCATGACTAATTCCTAGAATTTTTCGTGACTTAACGAAGTTACTATTTTCTCAGACAAAAACACAACAAGAAATTTAAAAAAGCATTATAAGAACATAAATTGAAATGATAGGTATAACCAAAACTGTTATACTCTGCATCCTCATATTTAAAGATTTTAAATTTAAAAAAACTGAGTAAAGAAAGAGTTGAAGCAATAAAATAGTTGAAAAAAAATACAAAAGCAAATAATTTTTTTCTGCAGAATTATATTCTAAAGATGATACTTTTCTTGTTTATCAGAAAGGAAAGAAATACTCCTGATTTTTCTGTTCTCATTTCAGAATTAAAAAAAATTCGCCAATGACTGGCTTGCTTCAGCTAGAATTTTAAATTGATAAAATAAAATAAAAAATAACAAAAATTCTGAAATCACAGAAGTTTAAAAGATAATTCCATCTAGAAATGATGTTTTTTCTTTCATTTTTTGAAAGAACACCATAACTTTTAAAGAACATGATAAAAACATTTTATATTTTAATAAAATATGACTGTGAGTGGGGAATTAATTACAAATTCAGATATAAGGACTATCATGAAATGGAGGGAGGGGGGAGATATTTTTAAATTCCATTTTAAAAATTAGATTTTTCAGTGACCTAAATCCATGACTTTCCATGATTTTCTTTTAAAAAATAGTTAAAATCATGACATTTCATGACAAATTTTGTTCAATACCGAAATTCATGACTTTCCAGGTGTGCGGATACCCTGTAGTAACCTAATAATTATTTATATAAATTATTAAGATGAAAAAAGCTTATGAATTAATACTAAATCTATAAAGAAATTTTTTGAAGTGACAAAGTACCCAATTAGGAATATACACTAAGAGATAAGAAATAAAATTTGGTTGAGATGTTTTGTGTTTACTAATTAATAAGATTTAATTTGGTGAAGAGATGTAAAAAGTTTTCTAAGCCTAATATTTACTCAGAACAGTTTCTTTTTTAAACTTCCCCCAAAATTGTAATTTTTTTTTAATGTGTTAAAATTTTTTGATGATAATTTTTCCAAAATAAATAAATTGATGAATAAATAAATAAATTGACTTACACAATTTTCGAATAAACTAGCATGTGTCAAAAATAATAGAAATCAAAATATATTGAAATAGTAATAATTTATAAAAACTAAACTTAAGATTCCAATCATAAACTTATTGAATTCTAGACATATTAAGTTATTCCTGTTACATTTAAAATAACATAAAATATTTTAACGTAAACTTTAAAATATATACTTTAATATTTAAATGATGTTTTACTTTTCCTTCTTTCTTACGTCTTATTTTTTTTTAAATACATTTAATTTAACAATAGTCAGAAGTCAAGTAGTCTAATTTGTTTTGGTTAAAAAGAAAAACACAAAAACATTCTCAAGTTGTTTAAAATAAATGCTTATTTATCACCTATAAAAACAAAAAAATTTCTTCTTATGCATTTACTTATAGAGAAATTATGTAGCAATTTTTTTTTTTAATATGACAGAAAATTTTCCCAGGGCAACTTGAATTATCCTCCTCCCAGAACCTTATTCATGTGATAGGATACTTTCTGCACCCCTGATTAGATGGGGGGAAAATATTTTCTTCTGTGAAACAAACACCATAAATTATTTGTATTCAACTCACAAAAAGTTTGTGTTTTTTTCAATAATAAACTACTTTGAGATTGAATAAATTTTAGTGTACTCAAAAATGACATATAAACTGCAGATGCCATATTTAACTTTAATAATTGAAATATAAAATTTGGTTAAATTAATAGTGTTAAACATGCAGTTTTAAATGGGAAAAAAATGTAAGGCAGAAAAAGCCAAAAGCATGTCAACCACTCTTTTACTGATATACCTAAATACCTACCACAAGGCTCAAATTTCTAAGCTATCATATATTTTTTATACTCATCAAAATCATAAACCCTCATATGCATAAATTAGAATCAGTAATTAGGATACATAAGCTTTAAACTTTTTTTAACCAATCTAAACACTAAATCATACTAAGTATATATTACTCATCACTTGAAAACAATGTTAAAAAACGGTTTTGTCTATGTTACAAACTTTCTAAAATAAATTACCTCAATAAATTTTAATATTTAAAAAAATTTCTAGTTAAGTTAGCTAAATTTAAAATCTCAAAATATAATTTTAGAAAATAATTCTGGAAAATATGAAAAGTCAAATATATGAAAGATTTAATTTTCCTCAAATTTTCTCCAGCAAGAAACTCTACATCTGGGAAAAGATAACTTGCTAGGACATTTTAGTAAGCTCGTGAATTCATTTCGTCTGGAATGAATGCAATTGAACCCAGTCCATTTTAAAAAAATCATCACCAGGTTACGACAGAGCCTCCTTCTACTGAGGACTTAGAATATTTTGTTCTCTTTTCTTAAATCATAATCTTTTATTTATCTGGCGAATTCAAATTCCGTTTTATTTATTTTTTTCATCAGAAATTTTTTTTTTGTATCCATTGGTTGTCTCAGGTAACGACTTGCTAGTTGACTTGAAGTTTAAATGTTCTATTTTATGCCTCAGCAGCAACCAAGGTTCAGCTAATTTTGCTGCATAAAAAAACCTTCCAGACTTTCGAATTGTATTTTGCATTTTTTGACAAACATTTAAACATGTTACTTGAATAAGTTTCTCGGTTAAGTATTTTTCAGCCGATGCAAATCCGTGAACTCTTCTTTCAATTTTAAGAAATTGCTGGCTACAAACTTTGATCTTTCTATCTTTATCAAAATAGTATGGCTACTCTACAAAGAGCAGTATAGAGCATCTTCATAGTTGCCATAATTAAATTACTGGTGGCCTTAAAGTTTTTACTGAGACTGAAGTACTAATTATATGCAAACCACTTTTTTCTGATAATTACAAATCCTGGTTGCTGAATTATTTCTTAAGGATATACTTTAAAAATAAAATAGAACTGATTTAAACATTATTTAAATTCTCAATTTTCTTAAATGTTTTCACTGGTCAGTTAGTTTTTACTCAGACTGTAAAAGCCAAGGTAATTAGAGAAAATACTCTGGATATTAACATTAAATTTTAAAATCAATTGCATTTAACATATATAAATGTGATACAGATTACAATTTTCCTTTAAAAAAATACATCAAATATCAGTAATTTGAATGAGAAGTAAAAAGCTATATGATTTATGGTATCTGATGATAAGCAAACTAAAGAGTAATTTTTACATTTTATGGTAATGATTTTGCTAATTTCTTTTCCATATCAACTAAAGAATATATTAGCCTACAAATAAAAAAAAATAAAAAATTTGATCCCTATCAAAAATTTTTAAAATCAAAACAACTTGATGTGCAAAAAGTTTGTTATACAGGGGCATTAACTTTTACAATAAATTGAGCATTTTAAAATTGCCATGGTCTCTAGCTATACACACTATATAGCAATCAATTACATTTAAAAGCTAAAGCAAAGATACTTAAAATACATAAACATCAATTTTGAAAAATTCTTAAGAAAAATAATTTTTTTTAACAATTTTTTTAAATACCAACAAAATATTTTGAAACTGATCAAAGTTTATTTTACTAATGCTTAGAAAAATATAGAATTTTTATTAATATCATAAAGCTAAAATATTTTGAATGTTTTTAAACTTTAAAAAAAAAAAAAAAAAAATTATGTACACATTATATTGAAGCAAAATATATTTGGAATTGAGATCAGCAATAAATATAGATTCTCATATATTTTTTAATGGCGATCTTGATTCAAATAAACAATGCTAATTAATTGCCGGTAATCAGAGAAAAAGTTAACCATATAAATATATATGTGAAGTTAACTTAGAAATAACTTTAATCAGCGCCATCTCTTGTACAATGTTTAAACTACTGTCACATGTCTGCTTTCTATGCGCGTTCAACGCTACGAAAGAAACAACGAATGGTACGAATAAGCCCAGCAACGCAGCACGAAGCGAACTCCGACAAACAACGCAAAAATTGTAATACCTCATCATATTCATCTTTGAAGTCAATGATAGTTAGCTGATACAATCTTGGCAAAATATTCTTCGTCGAATCCATTCTACACACAGCCAAACTTGTCCAATTTCACCATTTACTTGACAGCGAGTATAGCCTCTCACAAGGGTAGCGCCATTTTTGCGCATTAATACAAATTTGCCCTTCCATGAGGACTATATTTTGTTGCGTAATGCCACAAAGATGTGATGCGCACACCAAGTGGAGGTACAAGAAATAAAGTGCTTCGCTTGCCTCGTTCAATTCTCGAATGAGAATTGCTGTAGTTACACGTGTTTCAGGAGCTCTCGTAGTTTTCAAGGCTAATTTTATTAAAAAAAATATTTTTCAAAATTTGTGTTACGAAATATTATTTAAAAAAAAATCCCATTTGTACTTCATTAATTTCCATGCTTTTATTTTGAATTTTTTTGCTACTAAAAGTTTTAAGAAAATTATACTGGTGTATTTAAACAGGATGTTAGAAATGTTTTAATATACTCGTGTAGAATTACTAAGAGCTTTCGTCTTTTATCACGTAAAAGAGGAGGGGGGGGGTGAAACTTCGAAATCGATGAAGGGACAAAAGTTGGCGTATTTATATTATTTACAATAAATATGTATTTTCGATTTTTGTGAAATAAAATTGTTTTGAATAAAATTATATGGGTTTAAAAAAAAGTAGTAAAAGTAGGCTGAATGTCGTAATGGCACCAGGATTTTCTTGACAAGGCTCACAGAACTGACAAATATGTATTTTAAAAAAATCGATTAATATTTTTAAAAAGCTTCATTTTTAAAAAATAACAGGAAATGTTCGCCAAATGAAACATCAAATCAACCATCCTCCGACGAGGGGGTGAGACACTATGTTGTAGGGTGTATCCCCGCTAACTCATATTTTCATTTTTCTGGTATTCAAATTTAAACTGAAATTTGTCTATTTTTAACATAAAAAGTTCGAATTAATAACCCCAAAAATAATCATTTATACGTATTAGTATCACGTCATTTTCATACATCATTTTTTTTACACTTTATTATTATTGATAACACTTCAGTAGTTTAAATTTTTTTTATATATATATTAGTATGCTCCACCCCTACTCCCACCGCTTGCCAACCCCAGTTATTGATTCTCATAAATCATTGTTTATTTCTTCTTAAATAAAGAACAAAAAACATTTCAGTTTCAAAATGTACACTTATTTTCCCTTAACGTAAGAGCACTATGAAAACATATTATAATTATAACGAAATAGACAATTACCTGGATTTGAGAAGTAATCATTTGGACTTTGGAAGAAGAAAAAAAAAAGTTATACCCTTAAAACACAGAATGCGTGACTCAATAAGGAGAAATAAATGAGAAGCAGTTTTACTCGTTGACGAAACTTATAGCAATTCAAATAGGAAATGGTTCTTATCTTTGTTCATTATTTTTTTTATTTTTATAAATTTCTCTATAAATTCTAAGATTTATATAGTGTTTCCCAAAGTGTGGCGCTCGTACCCCTAGGATATGCGTTCTTATGCGGAATACCTTGCAACAAATAAAAAATTCGAAACATTTATTTAAAAACAAAGCTAACAATGAAAATCTACGATTACGTATTTTTCTATTTTTTTCAGAATTAACAGTTAATAAATAGTGGTGACAACAGCCAGATGAGATTTTTAACTTTTGTTCAATTTTTTTATAGTAGAAAATAAATTGATTTTTTTTTATTAGTGGTACACAGCGTTACGAAAAATTTAGAAAGGGTACACAAAAGTCATAAGTTTGGGAAACACTATATAGGGTAGCACGTAAACACTCTCTTTCTCTCTCTTTTTTTCCATTTTTGATTGACATCAGGGCCGGATTAAGAGCAAGCGGGGCCCTAAGCCATTCATTTTTTGGGGCCCTTAGATTAAATTTTTTTTTCTCGTCTATTTTTTATGTATTCAAATATAAAAGTATTTATATATCTTTTCATTTATGAAAGCAAATTTAAAATTAAAATAAATAATAATAACTTAAAGTTTTCTTTATTTTGTTAAATTAGAACTAAAAAAATTATCGTATTTTATTAACATATATTTGAAATTGATTTTTTTTTAAAAAAATCATTGTTTTTCTAAATTTTTTAAAATTTATTTTCAAAAAAAATTTTTTAAGGGGCCCCAGGCCATGGCCTAATGGGTTATCCGGCCCTGATTGACATCTATCTGAGCGCGAGTTTATAAAATAAAGGTCTATTGAAAGAAAAATAAATTTCATACAATAATGGATACAAAGTCAATATTTAAAGCAAAAAAGCTGAAAAAAATCACGTAAAAGCACTTAAATTTGCAATAACTTTCGAACAAATGGAATTCCGAAAAGAAAAAAAAAATTTAAGTTAAAATAATAATACGAAATCGACCTATCAGCACATTAAATTTCAATTCTGTTGTTGCATTTCAACGGACATACATACTTTCAATTTTTTTTTTCTAATGCAAGCTTAACAATTAATAATTTTCGAAATAACATTCAAATCGTATTTTTTTTAATTTTATTTATTTCATTGAACTTCTTGTACAGTTTTCTACACACTTTTAGTAATTTCAAGTTTCTATGTCTAATAGATTTTTAACGGCGAAGCAAAAGAAAAGAGAGATACGAAGAAAATACGATTCACAACAAAATTAAGAAAACAAAAACTTTAATTTTTCTCTCGCATGCGCTGTATAAAAGAACAAGTTTGATTACTCATATCTTTCACAGTTTTAAACAAATGTTTCTCAAATTTTAAAGCAATAATTTTGTATTTAATTTCAAATTGTTTCAAAAATTATGTTTAATTTTACTTATTGCATAGTAAAAAAAAAAGTAAGAAAATTTTTTAATGAAAAATGACCATATTTCCGTTAATATTTAAGTTAGGCTTACGAAATTTTGTGCAATTACATCACATATAGTAATTAAAATAAGTGTTATAAGTTACAAATTTATTGCTACATTTTTTGTCATAGGGAGATCAAAAAACACTATTTTCTGTTTGTAATTTATTGTCGGTCCCACAAATCTCTAAAAGGTAAAAAAGTATGTGTATAAATGTGAATAAAACTATTTTTAGCCCTTCATATTACTTACTAAGATTTACCAGGCTTAGATGCATATTAATAAAATATTTTTTTTAGCAGATATATTATTTAATTTCATGTGTTACGTGCAGTACAAAACCGTGGGATCGCCAAAAAAATTATCAAAAATCCTGTCAAATAGACTAATTAAAAAAATTAGAAAGCGCTTGATCCTAGTGTACTACTATAGTTCTTTTCAAAATTTTTTAATTACAGGGAGCCAATTACTCCTAATCCCTAATTCAGTGATTCTCAACCACTGTGCCGCTGCACTTTTGTGTGCCGCCAAATTCTTAAAATGTGCCGCCAAATATTAGAAATGATACAATAAAAGTTATAATGCTTTTTTTTTATTATGAGTAAAGTTTAAACTAACCGCGTGAACATCTTTGTCGGCGATTGTATTGTTTCTGACAATCTTAAAATAAGATGGAAGTGTTTAAATTGTATACGACACACAATTTTAAAAAATGTTGTAAGAGCTAATCATTAAAGTAAGCTATGCAATTAATAAACAAATTAACAAAGGATAACTAAAAAAACAAATATATAAAAAGCAAATTAACAAAGAATAACTAACAAAATTTAAGCCAACAATTAATAATTAGCAAAAAAAAACTAGTTAACAAGAAATCACAATAAAATAACAGTCAATAATTATAGAAAACAAGCTAAGAATTAATAACTAGCAAAAAATAAATAACTGTTACTAACTAATAAAAAATTGGTCGAAAGAAGTAATTAATCCCTTAATAAACGGGCTTTTGTAGTACATATTATTTTATTTCACATTCAAAATTATGATCACAAACTATTTAACACAGTGTAAAATAGGTAATTAAACAACTTTTAATCTAATTTTTTTCACTGTGCCGTCAAATTTCGAAATCGTTAAAAGTGTGCCGCAACAAAAAAAAGGTTGAGAATCACTGGCCTAATTATAGCCCTTCACGCAATCAAATAAAGGTTCTTCTTTTAAATGCACCAGCATAATAACCTCTCATGTAAAAACTCTATTATATAGATATGGTAATTTTTATTTATTTTAATATTATCAATGAAGTAGTTTTTTTTTGTTAATAAAGCTTTTTCACGCTAATTTGTGTTTCGGTGAGGAAAAACTTGCTCAACGAGTGAGCTGCAAGGTGTAGTGAGATTGGAGCAGTACTTAAATTCGAAATTTTTTTAGTAAATTGGTCGAAAATAAAGTAAAGAAAAAAATATCAAATTATAAACTGTAAATAAATATTTAAACGAGGAAAAAAAAAATTCCAAACTCTATCAAAATATAATGAGTCATTCCTCGAAAACACGGTTCTGAAAACAAAAACAGTTTAGTTTCATTAAGAATCTTGAATGTGTTTTTAATAAACACTGCTCGACTCCTTGTTTTCTTCGGCAATCAACACAGACTTGGATGTTTTCAGTCTCACAGCCTCAGTAGTAGTATTAGCTTACAATTACATTAGCATAATATCTTAGTTTATGCATTCATTTGAGACACTAAATGAGCATCTTTTATTAAAAAATTCATTCTCATCAAGAATTTAAAAAATACAGTACAGTCCCGAGTACATTTGGCTATGGGAAAATTTACGTATTTAATTTTGTAATAGTATTAGTTACTATTACTATTACGTATTAGTTACTATTACGTATTAGTTACTATGTTATAATAATAGAATTTGATCCTTTTCTGTGACCGGGATAGCCTGGTTGGTAAGGCGTTGGCCCATGTCTAAGAGTTTGGGATTTCGATCCCCACCTGCCGAAGACTCTCCGCGTAATAAATGGTGACTGGTTCACGCTAAATTTGTCTGGTCACAAAGTCTTCCATATTGCTATAACAAATCATACCTCTTGGGGCATTGAATTGGAGATTAATCATTCTCTGGCTCAGGTCACAATTGCGATCTGTAGATGAATGAATGGGCCAGCCATATAAAAGGACGTGACACGTGTGTGGCTGAAGTCGTATTCTTGGCAGTAGATGGCGCAGCTGAAGAACAAGAAACTCCCCCCTGGTTATACCAAGTATGCTTGCTGGTATTGGCAAGTGACATTAGAAACAACAACAACAG